CCGTGTCCATATAGGATGAGTGCTTTAGAGCAGTCAATTCGCAAGTATGCCCCTGCTCCCCGCTCGTCGCAGTCCTGGCATCCCGCTTGTCCCCACATGCGTCGTCTTTCTGTCTCCGCCGGTTCCACCACTACTCGCTGCTCGTTGCTGCCAGTCGAGCAAGATGTCCGGTGCTGCGGTGGACAAGCACAAGACGCCAACGGAGGAAGAGAATAGGAATCCGGCGTGGGAGGATGAGGAGGACAAGGATCAGGCGAGAAAGGAGGTGGTTATAGGTCTGATACTTAGCATGATTTATTTTCAGTATTCTCTGTAGTTTATAAGCAGCAAATGCCACCAGGGAATGCTCCATGTTGTAAGAAAATTGTGAATTCTGAACTTAGTCAAGTGCTTCTACTACAAGGTACTATATAGGTACCTGATATTTGGAAACTGTCAAATCCCTTTACCCGCTCACACAATATCCCTGAAACAGCAACTGTTCCACTGATTTTCTTCTGAAACAGCAACTGTTACAATGAAGAAAAAGCCATCACTGGTTTGTCACAGCAGAAGGTGGGTGCAGGAGATGATGATGATGCGCTGCTAATATTGGACTTGCCAGCGGTAAGCTCATTTTCATACTCAAGAAACATGCTTGTGGCCCTAACAAGTAACACTACCTGACATTTTCTTACTCTTATGCACATGGACAGTATGCATAATGCCACCTGAAGCATTTTGGTATTGCATGACAGTATGTGTAATGATTTATTTTTAGTATTCTCATTTCAGCAAAGGGTCATTTTTGTGGCAGCCCAGAGATAGGAAAACTGTGTCTAGTCAAGACCTACTTAGCAACAAAGAGTAAGTGGCATCTCCAGAGAATTGAAGTTAATAGATACTAAAGTCCCCATGCTACCTGCTTGTTTTAGTGAAAGGACCAAACCAAATATCCTTCATTTTTAGTACTAGTACATGCCACTCTTAATTTTTATATAACCATTAATCTCAATTGGTGAAGATTATTACTCCCTCTGTTCACTTTTGTAAGTCGTTTTAGGCAGCTGAAATTAAACTGTTTTAAGTGCTGTCCTAAATGTCTAGGACGTCTTATAGAAGTGAACGGAGGGAGTAGTATCAATCTATACAATAGCTTATTTTCATCAGTGCTCGCTAGCTGCATGTCCCAGTTCAGTACACGTGCATGTCCGCATGTTTGCTAGCTGCATGTATGTTATTGGAACAAATGATCGGCATGAAAAAGCTTGATATAAGCTACAAAGTAAATTCCTGAAACATTGTTCTAATATTCAGGACAGGTCTTCAAAGCAGCTGCCATTGACTTGGAAAAGCTCAGCACTAAAATTTGATGTTCAGGAGAATCAAATTCATCATAAATAAGGGGCTGCCATTGACTTGTCGTTCATCGCAAAGTTCAGGAGAATCTGAATGTATGTTCAGAACTATGAAATCTGGTGTTCAAGCACATGTTCAGGATGTGAAATCTGAAACCTGAATCTGATGTTTAAGCTAGCAGTGATGTATGCTCACTGAAATTATGTTAGTTTTAAAACTGCTCGTTGCTGCATTTGATAAACTGAATCTAACACTGTATCAAATGGACCGAAGATTTGCTCGTTGCTGCAAGTCTTAATGTAGTTTTAACATTGTTCAGGACTGAAATCTGAATGTGAAACTGATACAAAGCTAGCATTGATGTATGTTCAAGCTAGTTTGCACATGGACACTGAAATCGTATATAGCTAGTTCGCAAACTAGCGTGCTGACTGCTAGACAAACCATGCGGACGCGGACACTGTTAACTGCGGGATTAGGAGGGGCGTTGAGGACGGCAGTGGGGTGTGAGGACGAGATTGTGTGTGTGTGTGCGCGCGCGCGCGTGTTTTGAGAAACAGGGGATGAGATTGTGTAGGTTTCGGTGTGGGGAACGAGTGAACATATACTCCTCATGAACTAGCTGGCGACCTCGGGACGGCTCAGCCTCATACAGAAAAATGACTGGGCCGTGTCCACTACCGCTGTTCCGCGTACGGGTTGACGTTTGCCGTTGTAATAAATGCGCCAGCGCACGCGCTGTGATCGGAAACAATACTGCCTGAATACAAACTGGAATACATTACAGGGCGCTGATCCACATGCGAATGAGTGGGGGAGATTTTAGGATCATCTGAGCCTGAGCTCAGAATTGGATATCCCCACAGTATGGCTAAAAAATTGCATAGTATTATCGCTCCAGATGAACACTCATGTCGAGATGAACACTCCCAAAAATCTTTCGGTTACCACCGTTGTTACGGAGCCGTAAGAGGTCAGTGCAGTATAGCCCGCAGTCATCCTCACCCGGCTGATCGGGTCTGGATCACCACCGTCAGCCGTGGACCATAGCGCCGTCGACCGATCAGGCGGTCACCGCGCGCGTGAAAGTCCAGCACCTTGCCGCTGCAATCCACCTTCTAGCAGAGAGCCAAACACACGTGTCGAACTATTTTCCTTTTATTTTTGCTTCATATACATGATTTCTTTTAGATATGCTGTAATTTCATGATCATGGCAAACTTGTGTAGCTATTTTTTTTGGCAAAATCATGGCATTTTCTTGTGGACATGAATTTGGGTTCAGCCTATATCCATGTTGTTGGCATTAGTTTAGTTAATGTTTTGACATGTAAACTTAGATTTGTTTTGCCATGATAACTTTAGTTGTGTTTCGATGACAAACTTAAAATGTGTTTTGATACGACAACTTATGGTGTGTTTCTCCATGGAAACTAAAATATACTCTTGCCATGCAATTTAAGATGTGTTTTTTTACCAAGGCAAAGTAAGATGTGTTTCCACGACAAGTTTGGAGTTTTTTGACACGCCATTTAACACTTGCCATGGCAACTTTAAAATCTGTTTCCACGGCAAGTTTAGATCTTTTTATGGTGTGTTTTAACATGGAGCTAAAATATAGTTTTGCCTATGGCAATTTAAAATGTGTTGCCACGACAAGTTTGGAGTTTTTCACAACGCCATTTAAACACTTGCCATGACAACTTTAAGATATGTTGTCATGGCAAGTTTAAACGTTTTTTCCCACACGCCAATTAAAAGACCATGACATTTTTAGTATTTTGCCATGGCAAATTTACTTTTCTAACTATGGCAAATTTATTTCTATGAACATAGCATTTTTTTGTTTGAACCATGGCAAAAAAATATTATTAAGCATGGCAACTTTATTGTTTGCACCATGCCAGATTTCTTTTTCGACCATGGCTACTTTTGTTTTGTTTGGACCATGGCTACTTTTTTTGGTGGTTAGACCATGGCAAAAGTATATTATGGACCATGAAAATTTTATTTCTATGACCATGGCATTTTTATTTGTTTAAACCATGGCAAATTCATACTTCATAACATGGCAAAATAATATGAACCATGGAAACTTTATTGTTTGCACCATGGAAGATTTCTTTTTCAACCATGGCAATTAATTTTTTTTGTTGGACCTTGGCTACTTTGTTTGTATTTTAGAATTTAGACCATGGAAAAATTATATTATGGACCATGGGAAATTTATTTCTATGACCATGTCATTTTTATTTATTTGAACCATGGCAATTCATACTTCATAACATGGCAAAAAAAATTACAAGTGTAAAACTTTTGTTAGCTAAGTTTTCTGTGACATATAGAACATTTTCCGTCAAAGATTGCCATGGGCCATGGCAAAAAATGTAAACCAGCATGTTTCTCATTTAATACCCTGGCAATTTTTGTATTGTGTGTTGTTTTTTTGTTTCTTACCATAGCAACTTAATTTTTGTATTGCAGTTTTTTGTGATTTTTTAACTGTGGCATGGCACTTCTGGCCCTGTTTTTACTTCTTGTCGGTTCTGCCTTGTGCTCCACGGTCCTAGAGACGCGCACCGCCACGTAGGAGGGAACTCGTCACCTAGAGACTGACATGTGGGCCCAATCATTCAGATTGGGTGTTAAAAGAAGTTGACTGATAGATTTGGGCTCAATGTTGAGAATTAGTCCAGCAATTGTGGTTTTGTGTTAAAAAACTCAGAAGTTGTGGTAAAGTGTTATAAGTTGCCCCGAAGTTGTGGTTTTGTGTTAAAAAACTCAAATGTTGTGGTAAAGTGTTATAAGTTATCCTGAAGTTGTGGTTTTGTGTAATTAACTCTATAAGAAAAATGCAAGTAAATTTGTGTATTAAAAGACGACAAAGTTAATAAAATTTGACCTACTGATATGGCATTGCTCAGAAATCTTTTTGTTCTATCCTATATGTCCCTTTTTTTTCATAATATCTTGATAAAATCTTCACACTCAATTTTTCATGAAGTGTGTTTGAACATCATGGCAAATCATAAATTTTTCTGTAATATAACTTTTATTTTTCATGGCAAATTTGTTGTCGTGTAGTATGGCTTTCCTAGATTATTTCCAGGAAGTGTTTTCTTGGTCCAGTGCATTTTTAGGCATTTTTGTTTTTCTCTATTTGTTGAGAGAGGCAGGAGCAGTTTTTGGGCTACAACATTGCAGTTTTTGTTTTTTAAATTCTTCAAGGCAATGGTTCGCGCAGGGGGAGATTGTAGCAAATAAATTGGTCGTTCGATCCCCTCTCATGGACCGGACGAATTGTTCGATTTGGCTCCTCCCCTTACCGAATGTTCGGGCGTTATTGGGGTCCTATTATTTTTTGGTGACGAACACTAATCCTACTTGACTGGAGGTTTAAGCCTCCTTTTCCGAAGAAAAGAAATCACGAATCCTACTCGGAGCTCGAGGGATTGGGTGACGAACACCGATCCTACTCGGAGCTCGAAGGATTGGGTGACGAACACTAATCCTACTCGGAGCTCAAAGGACTTGGTACCCCGTCCATATAATGATGCGTACGTAAGACCTACCAAACTTACCTACCCGATCGAAGCATCGATCACCACGCCGGCCGGTTCCCAATAAATTCGGTGTTTGAAAGAGGTCGATCGCCCGGCCGGCATGGCAATGGCGACGCTGGAGGCCAAGGCAGCATATCCTTCCAACATGCCCGGGAGCCTGGCGCTCACCACCGAGGCGGTGGCCAGGATGATGCGGCAGTGGAACTACCGGGAGGGCTTCGGCCTGGGCGCGCGGCGGCAAGGGATCATCGCCCACGTAGAGCCCGTGGTGCTGCCGCACCGGAACGCCGGGATCGGCCATGACGAGACACCGCACGACAACGGGCTGCAGAACACGCCGCCGGTGGTCGAAGACGAGTGGTCCCGCCGGTGGCGGAACCTTTCACGAGCGTTGTCCCTTGAACGTGAGTGCTGCGACAAGACCATCGCCCTGCTATGTTCGCTCCAAGGAGATGGTGGAAGCGCGGAGACGGCGGACGCGCTGGCGGCGGTCGTCGTGTCCACGGAGGTGTTCGACTGGGAGCGCACGCCGGGGACGTGGAGAGCGTCGCTGCCCCCTGCCACCATACGCTACATCGTCGAGGAGGTGATCACGCCGAGGATGGCCGCAGACGCGCGGGAGTGGGAGCCAGTGTGGGACCCGAACTGCCAGCACTGGCTGCGCCCGTGGATCCCCCTCGTCGGGCACTTGCCGAACAGCCTCTACGACACGGTGGAGAGCAAGCTCATCACCTACGCCGATCACCACGGCATCGTCTCGTCTCTGAAAAAGTACCTTCACCCGACACAATGGGGCGCCTTCGCCGGGCGCCACATCCTGCCGAGGCTCGCACGTCTGCTGCGGGAGCTGAGGATCACGCCGCCGAAGCAGATGGACTGCTCGCTCCTCACAGTGATGCTGTGGGCGCCCCTAGTGCGTGCGCAGGACATGGTGACCATCCTTGAAGCTGAGTTCTTCGATAGATGGGAAGAAGCGCTGCTCCACTGGCTGCGTTCCGCCAAGCCGTCGTTGGGGGAGGCCGTCGCGTGGTGCACCGGCTGGAGGAATGAATTCACGCGGGAGCTGCTCGCCCACGAACGCGTGCTCGCGCGCCTCGAAGCCGGCGCTGCCATGGTGGATCGTGAAACGCAGGGACTCAACAGTCTTGTAGGCTACAGGGTGTAGATCTGCATGCGTGCATGGGCTGCGATTTGTCATCTAAATTTGGAAGTGTTGTATGCTACAGTTGTTGACGCTTGATCCAAGCTGTTGAACATGCATGATTGCTCTGTTTTTTGTTTTCGGATTTACGAATCTCCGCGCAGAATCCACGTCAGATGAGAGTTAGACACACCCTTCCGTTTTCTTTGTAAAAAGATCTATTTACTCTGTTGAATTGAGCATATATTATCTTTCAGAATTGCTCGTGCAGAGTTGCCTTTCCATTTCGCTTCGGTTCCTAGGACGGATACACAAAATTAGCGTTGCGATTCACAAAATGATGGCTTTTGCTAATCACCATATTATTGTGGTGATTTTAGAGCATCTTCAATAGGTGTTGTAATAATAAGTCTGACCACTTTTTGGGCCAAAATAATGCTTCAATAGTGCCCTAGCTACAGAATTTTTGACTCCAGATATATAGCACCACCAATGTGGGGCACCAAGTGTTGCAGATAAACAGACATACACCACTTGGGCTTGTGGAGTAAAACAAATTCGGCTGCGCAGCCGCTCCATCCCCAACCCCGCGCGACGTCCACATCTTGCCGTGCAGCTGCCACCACCACCAAAATGGCCAGTTTCGGCCCCGCCACATGCCGGTGCCGCTAAATGTGACCCCCTCCTCGTCGGCGTCGCTCGCGCAGACTGATTCCGCCGCCGCATCCCCGCACTTGATCCGGCCACCGTCCGTCCCCACTGGACGACGCAACACCTCAACGCCGCCGCTGTCTCGGCCTCGTTGTCCCTGTACCCGCGCCTCCGCCTTGCCGGCAAAGTCCAAGAGCAAGACCGACTTCAAGGTCGTCGTGAGGGCGCATGGCTCCATCAACTTCCCGAAGATCACAACCCAGGAGGATGCGGAGTTCATCGTGCCACCGGTGACCATTGTGCCGGTCAATGATGATGATGATGATGATGAGTAGGAGGAGGAGGAGAAGGATGTCCGCATTGTTCCCGGCAAAAGTGACGAGGAGGCCACCGCGAGGTTCACGCGAGAAAACCCACAATACGTCTAGTACTAGTGGTTGGGGCGCCATCCTGTGGCGCCGCTTGAGAGAAAATTGTGCTCATATTTTCATTAAAAAAATAGATTGAGTTCTTACTTCCATGTAGAAAAACATTAAAAAAATCCCCACCTCCATCTAGAAAAAAAAGTAAAAAAGAAAAGAAAATATCATCAACGCAACCTATTAGCAAGCGCCACTTTGTGTAGCCCTCCAGTTAAAAAAATACGTGGGGTCATCACCTCCATCTAAAAAGAAAAAAACATTTAAAAAAATTTCTCACTTCCATAATATTCCAAAAGCTTTTTCACCGTGGCCAACCTGCTTACCTGCTTGCGCCACATGGCATAGCTGATGGCCGTCCTTCACGCGTAGCTTAATGGGTCTAGAATATTTTTTAAAACTATGACGTATTTTGTAGCAATTTCGGAAACTATAGCACAGAATGAAAAAAATGCAAAACTATGACCCTGTCGGCCACGTGGAGGCTGAAAAGGTAGTTTTCGGCCAACTGTTGGCCGAAGTAGTGTTTTCGGTCGTGCCATGGCCGAAAAGTGCTTGAGCTGGCCGAAATGTCTGTTTTCGGTCTACACTAGGCCGAAAAGTACTTTTTGGTCTACTCTAGGCCGAAAAGTACTTTTTGGTCTACTCTAGGCCGAAAAGTACTTTTTGGTCTACACTAGGCCGAGAAGAACGAGAGAGAGAGAGAGAGAAAGGAGAGAAAGAAGAACAGCAGCGACACAGGAGGAAGAAGCCACCGCTCGGGCTTATCCAGCCTTTTCGGCCTACGGGTGGCCGAAGTACACTTCGGCCTGGGCTGGGCCGAAAAGGGCCCATTTCGGCCACCAGCTGGCCGAAGCTACTATTTTTGGCCGGGCCACCACCGACAGCAACTCTTCGGCCCACCACAGCTCGTTTTCGGTCAACCGTGGGCTGACGTCCTCTTTTCGGCCGAAAAGTCCCTTTTCGGCCCAAGCGAGGCCGATAGGGTCATAGTTTTGCATTTTTTTCATTCTGTGATATAGTTTCCGAATTTGCTTCAAAAAAGGTGATAGTTTTGAAAAAAAATCCAGTGCCAACCATACACAAAGAGTAGTATTTCGTATCAGTTATCAATTATCACCGATCACAAAAGAAATTAACACTTATTTAATGACACTGATTCAGTCTAATTATATGAGGACCAATAGAGGTTATTTTGTATGAGGAAGGTACTATCTAGAAGAACTAATACCATGTTTCTCGCAAAAAAAAACTAATACCATGTACCATGGAACTTCAAAGCCTAATATGTCATATCAGCATTTTATGCTTTCTAGACATGATAAAGCCAGCGAGAAGAACAATATGGAACACATGAAAGCAGCAACATGCATGTAAGTGATAAAGCCCATCGGAGCAGCAAAAGACATAGGAACTAAGGGCATGTTTGGTTGCCCGCATGCAGCCCAACTAGGCCCGCGTGGGATGTGCGCGACCTGTTTGGTTGCCTGGGCTGCATGCGATTTGAGCCCGCACGGACCTCAAAGCAGCCCGCAGCCTGGCCTGGCGAAAACTGCCGAATCGGCAGTTTCTCGCGAGCCTGGCCGGGCGCGGCCGCGCGTGCGGGGCAGTTGCACGCCTTGGGCAGTGCGGGAGATGGAGGCAACGTCTCAATACTCGCCCCCCACTCTCCTGTCACCGCCCAGGCGCACTGTTCCCACCGCTTCCTTTCTCTCCCTCACCGCTCCTTCCTCTACTCTCCTCTTCTCGGATGGCTCCGCCACGCCCACCGCCGCCCCACCCTCTGACCCCGGTCGACCAGCGCATCGCCAGCATCCAGGAGCGCTGGCTGGCCAGGCTCCAGAACTCGAGCCGCGACCTGGCGTCGGCGCTGCGGGCGCCGTCCCCCATCTGCTGCCGGCCTCCACGAGCGCCGACCAATGCGGTGCCGTCCGCTCCTGCTCCGCCGCCGATTCCGGACCTCGTGGTCCTGGGCTCGACGCCGGCGCCGTCGACACAGCCGCCCCTTCTTGGGACATCATTGGGCTCGGGGGTTTTCTTGACCCCCGTCCAAGGGTTTTCTCCGGTCGGCGGACCCTCCTTCTCGACCTCCGGCGTGGCGTTCAGCACCACTACAAGAAATAGTCAACTTGTGACCTTGACTATTGGTCATTGAAAGGTCATTGTTTTTCATTTTCGACCTTTTTTTGACCAAAAACAGAAGGTCAAAAGCTGAGGGTCGTTAACTGACTATAGCGACCTTCTCTGTGAGAAGGTCGTGGATGTTTACGACCAAAATATTCCTACTGTGGCGTTTTGGTCACTAGCAACCTCCCCAGGCCACGTAGGCATCCAGCGTGGCAAGCTGATGTGGCACAAGATCCAGCCCGGTCCAATTCGGTTTTCTACATGGGCCTAGCCCAACAATTCGGCCTTTTTAATGTATTTTTTTCCTGTGCTTTTATTAGCTACATGGGTCTGACCCAATAATTCGGCCCATGTATTTTTTTAGACAAGCCCTTTTAATATATGTATTTTATGTTAATTTTGGTTAGCTACCTGGGCCTGGCTTACAATTTGGCCTTTTTATTTTCTAGCACACAACATTTTGCAGTCAATTTATTTTTTATTTTCAGATTTTTTTCCCAGCTCCAGTTTACAGATGGGTCCCAAAAGTCAGATTTTTCACAGCTTATTAATAAGCAATATATATGTATATATCAAACAGACAAAAGAGAGAAAGCATATGAAAATCTTCAAATAACAGCTAAAATAAGTTTATTACAATATGCTATACAGAACAGAACACGTGAAACTACATACACTCATTCACATCACACAACCAGTTTCCATACACTCATTCACATCATATCAACCAGTTTAACCATCGAATCTTGTATACCCAGGAACTTCCGCTTATGTGCAGACCTACAGGAAGGGCATCTCTCCAGCATCATCTCTCTGCAGTATTCACTGCTTCGCACTTGGCTTCACGGCTTCACACTCAGAAAAATTAGGACTGGAGCTCCTGTAAAAGAGTGAACATAAAGGAAAAAAATTAGGCTTGGAGCTCCTGAAAAAGAGTGAACGCATAAAGGAAAACAAGTAAGAAAACTATATAGGAAAACAAGTAGAGTGTATTGAGCATAAGTCACGGTTTAAACATCAAACCAGATTTACAAGTGAGCATGGCTAGAGTTCACAGAAACGATCCAAATCCAAAACTTAGGGGTGGCTGGGAGAACAGAGAGGGGACGCACCGCTCTAGCAGAGGGCGGCACCGAGGACTGAGTCACCGTCAATGCTTCTGGTGCGCTCCACTCGCCTACATGTCAGGAGTTTTGTGACTCGTGAAGATACATCTATGCACCAAAGCAGCAGTTCATTTACCAAAAGAAAATAACAGTTCAAGCATCATGGTACCAACACCAATTTATCGACAGCCCAACACCAAAAAAGTAAGTTAAATTGAAAATGCCATACTCTGACTATTTCATCCTCAATACATGTAATGTGTTGTGCACTCTACACATAACAAGCAGGCTACTAGAAATTACTACAAGGAGAACACACCTCATATACAGAATTCACACTTGACAATTACAATAGGCAGTGCACATATATGGAGAGGTGTTTAAAAATAAAACTCAGGATTTACGCATGCACTGGGCATGTATGGATACTAATTGCTCAACTACACAAGGGTAGTCGGTTCGCTGTCACATATAGAAAAACATGATTCATATCAACACCATAACAGAGATTGCTAAACCTCAACAGTGGCGTACTTATATACAAACAGAGATGATAGCGACACCGTACTACTACTACTTGAAAGATTGGCAGTGAGGCTTACCCATTGGCGAAATAGTCAGAAGAGGACACCTCATTGTACTTCATGAGCATGCCTGGGGGCCAAACAGGAATATCAAAGCAATTGCATCCAGATCTATCTTCTGCAAATCACAATAAACT